AGAGCTTATTAACAATATTGTATCCGTCAAAAACAATGTACGAATCCTTGAGTTTGATTTCGCGAAAGTTGTAGTCGTTTTTCCGGATATACGACGACAGCCCCCGCACACCCATCCTCCGATTTGGCCTTTTTTGCGAAATGGGACACTTTGCTTACTAATTTAAACACATGCTTCCTTTGGTTTGAAATCCTTGATAAATGTCCTCTGCTGCAACTTTTTTGCCTTTTTAAGTTTTGTGCTATTTTTTCCTGACATGCGCTATATAACCAAAGACAAGTTTTGAACACATCATACCCGTCTTGTAAAATAAATTAGCCTCCTATGTTGGTGATATGATTTTTCCTAGCATTTCCTACATTTCTTTGCAATCTACTGCTATTAACCTTTAATTGATTCAATCCCTCCTCCCCCAACTTAAAAGCCCCCAACCACTGATCCCAACCCCGACCACACCTGCGAATTCACTTGAATTGCTCCCTTCCCTTCTCGCCTCTTCACATTGATGACCAATCTCCGCACCTTCTTCGTCACCAAAGCACTTCACCTCATCGAATCTCACCAGAACTACTACTGAGAGCGGGTAGCAAGGCACCAGGACTCACCACCCGGTTGCCCCGCTTTCTGACCACGTGCCGCGACCCACCTTCACAAAGTTCACCGAACCAAGTATGGCATAAACCCTAACCGTATCGATACACAAAATACTTCACTGATACTACCATAATTTTCGCATCTCGTACACCGCATATGGACATTTTGTGGTCAACAACATGGATATACATAACTGCTTTTAAAATGCAGCATTTTAACCGTGGGTTTGATCATCCTCCACGAAGTCCAGTGCCTCCTCTTTGGTCACACATTCGATGTGTGAGACCTGTTGATGAAACAGGAAGCAGAAAACAGTAACACATCTGAACATCAGAGAATGGTTGGGAAGACACCTTCACCCAACCCACCTTATTGCGGAACTTGACACCGTAGTACTTCTCGGCCGACTCCAACAGCTCTGGTCGGAAGGTTGTAGTGATGAACTGAGCGTCCGATTTAAGATCCCGGATCATGTCGGCCACCGCGGCACGGTACTGAGCGTCCAGCGCGGCATCGATTTCGTCGAAGAGATAAAATGGCGCCGGATCACACTTTTGGATAGCAAAGATGAGGGTAAGCGCCACGAGAGACTTCTGCCCACCCGAGAGCTGATTCATGTCCCGCATGTCCGCTGTCTCCCCCGTGAAAGAGACGCGAATCCCTACGCCGGTGAACAACTCTACCTCTGGCACTGGCACTCCTGCTGCAGGCGATGTCCCACCTCCCTCGTCGCTGCCCTCCTCGTCTCCCTCCGCCGGCTTAAGAGGGCGCAAAAGACAAGGGTTACGAACACTTTTCGTTCAAATTTAACACTAGTTATAGTTTTAACGGAATTATAATCGTCTGGATTGGGCACTTGACCATGCAAGGACAGTTGGATGGTTTTAACGTATTAGAAAAGTTAATGAACATAAAACGACTCAACTTCGAACTAAACAGACACGATTTCAAATAACCTACTGCATCCACCACTATCTCAGTTCAAAAATCCCGAGATTAAGAGCAATTAACAAGATCCTTTATGGTCGTGAATTCTTAGATTATCGCAACAGAGAACCAGAAATTCAAGGATGGTAATGCTAGGATACTTAGAACATGGCAATGCGTAACCTACTCGAAGCTGAATTGAAAATATCCCCGCTAGAAATAAGACTACCAGCGTCTCTAGGCTTGGCTCGGACTAATGCAGTCGATATGAAAATAACAATTAGAAGGCTGTAGCTAAAAATCCATGGGAGGACCTACCTTTTTGCCGCGGTGCATGACCAACTCTGCGCGACCCTCAGGGACCAGTCTCTTAAAGATATCCTGGAAGTTCTTTGACACCTTTTCAAGAAGAGTAGGAAAAGTTTATGCTAAGTCAAATACCCGTGTTCAAAACCCACAATCAGTTATGATCCAAGCAAGGATCCGGAGATATTGTATACCCTTCTTTTCTTTTCGAAACATATATTGTAGGTATGGCAAAGGCCAATGGCGTCAAAAGAACCAAAACCGACCTGTTTGAATGTTAGAGTGATGGCCTCGTACTTCTGATGGTCAAGAGCGTTCATTAGATCGATAATGGCCTGATGCGCCTCGTCCAGCTCCTCCTTCCGTTTCAATAACTTCTCCTTCTCCTCCGAGTGGCTCACAAACTGGTCCAGTGCCTTCTTGTTCACGTGACTGTATCGCTTCAATTCACGATTTGCCTTGTCCAACAGTTTAAACAACTGCGCGGGACGCGTGTAAACAGATAAAAGCTGTGCCAGCAGAAAAAAAGAGTAAAGAGCAATGCTAATGGGGAACGGACCTGCTTGAGACTCTTATCCTGAAATTTATCAAAGGCATCGGCGGGGAGGGAGCCAAGGTCGCGGATCTTCTTCATATTTTCTTCCTTCTTCTTGAAGAGTTGACTCTGTTTCGACTGCATCTTCTCCAGGCTCTGCTGGTCATCCTGGATGCGCTCCGCATAGTCTTTCTCCTCCATCCGCTTTGCCTCCAACTCTGCCTCCAGTCGCCGCTGATCCTGCATCAGCGCGGCCAAACGGCTTTCCACCTCGTCCACTGTCCGCTCCTCCGCTTCTATCCTATTATCCGCCTACAAATCATCACAAAACGTGTTCCCACGTCTTTGCTATCGCATAAATGTCAAGTGTCATTCAAAAAACCTCCCTAAACACCTAGTAGATAGTTAATCTGTAAAAAATACGGGCACATCAGAAACTTATTGACATGTTGTTAGGAAAATACTAGGTGAAATAGACTAAACAACACATTGAAGGGATTTCGGAAACGCGCACAGATTTTCTCATATGACACCACAAATTTAGGAAAGAATACGACAAATGTGGAAAAAGCCCATTTGCAAGAAAAAAGGAAAGGACTCACTTCTTTTAACTCCTCCTGTGCCTCCCGCAGACGTTCAGCAAGGTCTTGTTCAGAGACCTCGGCGAGTTCAGCTTCGAGCTGCTCACGTTTTCGGAAAAGGTTGTGCTCCAGCTGGGTCTCCTTCTCCGTCTTCTCTGTCTCCAAATTCATGCGCTGTCTGTAGGGAGAGGGAGTGCTATAGGACACTTTGCTTCGGCTTAGAGGCAAAGGGGTCTCGAAGGGCTCACCTGTAGGCTTCTTTGGCTTCGCGCGTCAGTGCCTGTATCTTGTCGTTCAATCGATCCACTTCCCTCTGCTCCTGAACAGACAACTGACTAGGCAGTTCCGTTCCTAGCTCGGCCTATGGGGGAGAGGAATGAGAGAAAGCTATTTTAGACACTGCTTAAAATTTTATTCTTTAGTCCCTAACTACCTAGTTTTAGTGATGACATTTATGCTACCACTCCCCCAACTTGGACTCAAATAGGGAAAGGAACACACCTTATAAGACTCCATGGTGTACTTCATCTGGTCTAAGTCATGCCTTAAGGACGAGAGTTTCCACTCCTTTTGTGGTCTTGCCTCAGTCTTTGCACGCAACTCCTCCTTCCACAAGTGTATATCCTTCTTTAGCTTGTCAAACGTCATCCTGAAAGTAGTACGCACATAAAAGTATTTCCATCGCCATCGTATTTGGTCGTTTACATTTAATATAGAATGTGAAGCGTACTCTAACTTCGATTGAACAGTCTCCTTGCGCTGCGCCTCATCAATGATGCGATTTATCTGGGCGTCTACTTGCTCTTTCCTCTTAGCGTTGTTCTCCCGCACGTTCTCCGTCTCCTGAATCTCCATCTCCGTCTTTTGCTTCCGTCTTTGAAGTTCCAGTCGTGACATTCGGTTATCATAGTAACCGCCTGTCAGAGTGCCCTTTCTTGAGGCCTGATCACCTGCAACGAGGCGATGGCACAAGAAAATTAGCCGGAAATTGATATTAGCCATGGGCCAAGAACAGTGCTGTATCGACGTTAATGGAACACAATCTAGGTATACCGATCATTACGACTGGAATTATTTGCGGAAAGAAGTACTCTGAGTCATATCCTTCAATGACCATGATTCGTATTTTGAAATAGTCTTTATCAAAAGGAGAACTGAAAATTCAAGACAAGAAAAAACAATAAAATTTTCCTCAATTAACAACACCAAACTCCACCTGTTAGGCACTACTCCCTCCTATACCAGGCCACGTCTGCGATTCTGATCTGGTAAATGTTACCTTAATATCTGACCACACGAGCCCTCTTCGATCTCACACGGTCCCAAATGCACGCTAACAGGTTGCAGCTGTGCTTCTGTTACCTATGCTATTAGTATCTTTTTTCTTCAATACGTTTCAAAAACTTCTTCCAGACTCGTTTATCTCATAAATTTCCCCAAGGAACACTCGAGCGCTATGCAAGGCTACATCTCTGGAAATTTTCACCAATTACTTTACTTTTTCATTCCCACATTACATCCCACAGTTAATGACAACGGTAGAAAAACTGAGCAAGACTACTAACCTCGAAGCCTTGGGTAACTACACAGTTGTCAACACTTGGAAGACAGTCTTATAAAAGTCCTCCGTGGGATACAGTAAAAATACTAGGTGGCTCAAATACTACAAAGGATGAACGCACCATCAAGAGTAATACAATCAAAGTTCTGCCGACGTGCAAGCTGGGTGGCCACCTCGAGGCTGCTGCAAATGAGCGTCTTGCCAAAGATGTGCACCATGACAGGACGGAATTTGTCGTCAAATTTGAGGCGTGAGATCATGGGAATGGCACCCTCAACTTCGGGGTAGTGGGACTCCTTCACGTAGAGCTTGTTGATGGGCAGGAAGTGAACCTCACCAGGCAGATTGTGCTTGTTGATCTCATTGATGATTTTGATCACGTAACGATCCGACTGCACCACGTGGTAGAAGAGCCGCGCGCCCGCCGTCACTTCCACACAGGTGTAGAAGTCCTCTGGACACTCCAACAGCTCAATCAGCGTGCCGTAGTAGCCCTGTACTATCTCGCACTCCGGCCCGAATCGGTCTCTGAATATTTCTATCACCTAAACACGGCGGCACCAGCACTTTATTAGCCACCTTCTCCAATAACGTGAAGTTACCGTGTTTCCACAACAGTGACTATTACACTGCATCAGGTAGGAAATAAAAAGCAATATCATGTTCACAGCTATGTCATCGCTACCATTCGACCTTTCAAAACATCACATCTAATTCCATCCTGCTACCTATAGATTACAAACGATGATATCCCCATCAACCACCACTTAGTCTTCTAAATTGGAAATTTCTAAAAACGAATCTGGCGGACCAATGAGCCACGGCACACATGAATGATTACCAATGCCGTTAACATAAAATCCAAATTCGACCACGGCATTTTCGGCTAAATATAATTTTAGGAACAAAACATTCAATAAAATCACCGACTTTCGAGCGTTTTCCAAACCGACCAAAATCGAAGGAAAGCGCCACAAAGCAAACCATTTTTAAACAGGAAGAGTGTAGTGATGACTCTATTTGTGCCACCTCCACGCTACTAGCATCTTAGCTCCTCTGTAATATGATAATAAAACTAACCCCATATTATTACAATTCAAGGTAGCTTTTCAGTGGCTATTCTACTTCATTAAGGAATGATGCTTCAAATGTTGAGATCATCATGAATATAAAACACTCAAAATGCATTCCTTGCAGTGATAAAAGGCAACCTGAATAAGGTGCAGATTCACAGTTAAACAATGAAAGTCACTACTCAATACATATGCTGCTTTAAAAGGGAAATTATTAATCAATGAGTAATCAGCGCTGACAAACTTGAAAGTGTTAGCAAACTCGTTGCTAAGTATCAGGTTAAATTTGCAACGCTAAAGCATTTTAATGATTTAAATTAAGACAAGAAACTGGTTCCGTGACAAAAATGGGTTTTTTTTCAAATCCAATGACCATTCGCTTCCGATAATTCACAAAACAAAGTGGAACTGAACGAGAAACGCGATGAGATAACATACTTTGCGAACAGAATCAAGGCCGTTAAGAATAACTTTCCCCGTAATGGATCGAAGACTGTGTTCGGTGCGCGCAAGCTCATCACGCCAATTGTTTAGTTCCTGTGCGATTCTCGTTTCCTCCCTATACACCGTCTGACGATCCGCCTGTGTCTCCTCCTTCTCTCGACGCAGACGACGCGAATCTTCGCTCACCTAGGCAGAGTAAGAGAGAAGCCTTATGACTTTAACCGGCGAGAAGACGAAGGTGAAGCCTCAGCGCAGGACCAACTCACTGCATCGAGTTCAGTGCGAACGGTGTTTAGATTCTCTTCTGCCCCTTCCAAATCCTTTTCTAGTTGGGCACGACGTTCATCATCCTTTTTAATTTCCTCCGTGAGCTTCGCAATAGTGTTCTCTTTATCCTTAATCGCCTTGGCCTGGCTTTTCATTTGATTCTTTATCCACTCATCTCTTTGAACACGAGATCGAAACTGGTTTACACGACCCTGTTTCGCAAACAACTCCTTTCTAAAAGGCACAAAGAGGTGAGACTGGAACCGCTCGGGACGGTGCTAGTCACGTAGAGATACAAAAAGCAACCTGCGGTGCTCCGCGTCAGAAAGAGCATTGGCTAAATCGTCCTCCTTCTGTCGAGCCGCCTTGTATTCAGGTTTCAGCTCGGCGAGGCGCTGTTCAACCACCTCGATCTGAGCATTCACTCGGTTCAGTTCCTCTGCCGCACGCTCACGTGCTGACTTGCCACTGCGAAGTGTATTGGTGTAGTCTCCACAAGTCAACTGCAACTGCTCTCGGCGCTGCAAAATTGCGCTAACCGAGTGTTGCACCTGCTCCGCTTCATCTTGAAGCTGTGCCTCCTTCAGTCGAGTGTCACGTAATTCTCGTTCCAAACGCTGGATGCCATGGGTTGGATGCGGGGAACATAGTAATTCACATTGGTGTTGCTATGACTCAAAAGACAGCACTCACCTCAATCTGAGCTGCAGTGTCCTTAGCCGCACGGCGTATTTCAGCTGTGCTCTCACTGCTTTGTTCTCGGCGTGATTGAAGCTCCTCCAGTTTTCGACGAGTCTCTTTCAATTCACGATCATAGATAGTATACTCGAGGGCTCGACGATCGCGATCCCAGCGCTGGTACTCCTTCAGCTCTTTGGTCTCATTCTCTAAGGTACCCAAGCGTTCTTCAATGCTCTCCAACAGTTTGGAAATTTGTTCACGCTTCGCCTCTGAAAGTAAGAGTGAAAGACGAGAATCTCATGCTTGATGGCTGTTACAGGATTATCAAGGAAAAGGTACCAGATTCACGAAAAATTAATTTGCTTTCTGCTTTTCTCTCGTCATATACCCGAGTGCCGGCCACCTCACGAAGAAGCTTTAGGCGTTGACTATCAGGAGCAGTGGCAAGTTGGGTTATCTAAATGTATTAAAACAAAGGTAAGAAACCGGTTCAAGAAAGTCCAAGTAGCAGGAAATAAACATACCTTTCCTTGTTTGACAATGTAATAAGGATTGCTACGGGAAAAACCGGCGCTTTCAAACATGTTCATCACCTCGGTTTTACTACAAATCGATTGCTAAAAACAACCAACTTACGTCACAATCTTTTTATCAAGAAAGAACTGATCCTTTTTGCTTCCGATGATGCGACGAAGAGAAACTTCATGTTTTTCAGACTAAAAGATTAACCAATAATAATAAAGTCCCACAGGAATTCGTCCATCACTGTTATCAAAAATGATTTCGACATAGGCCGAGATAACCCTCGGTCCTGTGCCTTCGTGCAAAAAATTTTGCCTCTCTTGATTGCTTAAGTGACTGTATTCGTCGGATAAGACGAATTGTATAGCCTGAAAGAAATTCGATTTTCCAGATCCATTCCGACCAACTATAGGCATTGACACCTAAGGATACTGACCTACCCACAATGTTATGATG